CACCGGCCCCGCCAAAGAACCCCCCCCCTCCCAAAAAAAATAATAAAAAAAAACCTGAGCCGCCTCTGGCACAGCTCCCAGACTCCTGGCAAGACCATCCCGGGGCTGCCCCCTTCGGGGCTGCGGGGATCTCCAGGGGGAAGCCAGCCCCACACGCACTCCCCTGGGAAGGTCAGAAAGAACGGGCTTGCTCCCCAGAGGAGCTGGGCTCCTGCAAAACAGAGAGACCTCCGTGGGACTTGGCCGTGCTCAGGATCGGGTCCAGTAGCGCCTGTGCAAACTCTGGGTCACTGTTATTTCCGCCTTGTTTCTTTTGCTTGCAATAACAGAACATAAGCACTGTTCCGCGTTCGTGTTCCGCTCAGTGTGAACCCTGAACACAAGCCAAGGGCACCCTCAATGAACGCTTCCTGCCCTGGTTCTGAGGGACCGACCCCATTAATAGCTGTGCATAGTTGACCCTCGTTGACTTTGCCCTGTTAGTTAGATCCCTGGATATAGGATCCTGCCGGCACTAAAGTAAAAGAGCGTTTGGTCACTGGCGTCAGGATTGGGCCCTTCATTATGTGTATGTAATGAGAGTTTGTGTTCTATGTGTATGGGGGGGGGGGTGAAGGACAGAGAAAAAGGCCTTAATTGTCTATTTCTCTGGGTTTATCACTTTAAATCTCCTTTGTTAGTACTGTTTGTGTGTGTAATGCAAGTTTTGATTAAATAACGTGTGTATCAAGTATTTAAAGGCGTCACCAACAAAATAAAAAATGGTCTCATATTGTAAGAGAATAATTACAAATGAGCTACGAGGCAAAAGCGACTAAAGAACAAACTGGAGTTAGGGGAAAGGGTATCCAGTTTTCCTTGTCAGATAACCGAGCACAATCTTGCGTTAGGAAAATCAAAGTGTCACTTTTGGAGAGTTTAAAATAGAAATGCTCCTCTTCTTTGGAGGCGCTGAAAAGTGTAAGAGAGGTCAAGGAGATTTCCCAAGCAGCTCATGATTTCTGCTCAAGGTTTTCTTCTTAGTCTGATCGGAGATATAACGTTGGAAATAAAGAAAAGAAAAAGCAAACATGTCTGAGTTAATATGCCATAACATTTTCAGCGCTCCGACTTCACCACCTCGGCCCCTGGCATACCCACTTTGCAGGCCACTGTTCTACTCCTCCCCAGCTTTCTCTGTCGAACTAAACTTGGACAACATCCTAGCCTGGCTTGGGCTGAGATGCAAAACTACAATTCTGTGGCAGAAAAGAAGAAAATAAACAAGTCTAGTGGTGTAAAAAGTTGTCTTGCGGGTGCCTGCAGCTGGTGGTTAACACAGACTGTAAGAGGATCAACTCCATCTCCGCTGGCGAAGGGGGGAAAAAAGGAAGAGAGAAAAAAAAGACCTCACATTTGCTATTCACAGTTTAGTTAATTTGGATGATAACGGTTAGTTTTTAATCCCATTGTATGAGACTGAATATACTACAAGCGTCCCAAAAGAATATCTACTGCAAACAGAACACCACACTGGAGTGTCTGAGTTTGAACCTAGTCTGGGATACAAACATTTGGGAAGATGCAGTTAAATAATTACTTCGATGTTTTAATACTGAAGAGTTCTAAACTCTTTGCATGCAAACCTCAGCTTTGATCGTTTGACTTTAAGTCTATTTTATTATATTGCACTGGGGGAGAGGGTCCCCATTGCTCAGATACAAGGACAAGAATCTGTATTCACAGTTAGTGCTATCCATGTAACTTATACGGAAAGATCAGATGGATCAGATTTTCCACACTTAAACTACAAAGAAATAGGAAAAAATAACGCAATACACTAAAAAGAAAAGAGAAGTTGGATGTTTGGAAGAAATATCCTGGAGCTGATAGGACTGGAATAAATGGCATCTTTATAACGTTTCTCTGGGGACTGCAACATTTCCCAGATGGGCAGGACTAAACACTGGAAAGACAGCTCAGCCCCTAGCACACATCTCCTCAGTGAAAGTGATGTTTTTATTTCCTTCTGCTGGGTGCAGTCACAATCCAGAGTTGCTGTTTAGTTAGTAAATGTGTAAAGTGGGCTACTGGGGGTGGGGGGAGTCCCTATGCAAAAAGCAAGGGCGGTGGCAAGGAGCCGTGAAAGAGCCATGGAAACGCGCTCAGAGGCTCTGGAGACTGGGGGGTTCCCAGCCTCCTTTCAGCTAATTTCCTCTGGCTTCTGTTTGTATGTTTTCGATATTTTCCTCTTAAACCCTTTAAAAAGAGAGAGATCAACTTCCCCAAACTCTCCCGTCCTCCCTTTCTCCCCCCCAGGGACAAACACTGCCATCCCCCCGAAAAGGAGTCCTCTGCGCTCTCGAGGCGAGAAACGCGGCTGCCAGAACAGAGGCCATAAAAAAAAGTTAACAATGCTGTGAAAATATGTTTGCAGAAAATAGACAATTGTTGGATTAAACGTATTCAAGTATGAAATAATGCCTTTTTGTGTAAAAACTTCAGCAATGTGCGTGTACAAAAGTTCCCTGTGGCAGTTACTTGCTCCCTTTGTGAGCTGTGCGCTTTGGCGTCTCCACTTGGCGCATTTAACTCAGAGCCCTTTAAACGCGATTGTTTCTTTCTTTTTAATGACATTTACCGGATCAAAACATGCTGTTAATTCGATCAGAAAGCTTTACCCTCCCGAACAATGCCACAATAATTTCTCCTGAAGTTTGTTAAATTGACCAAAATTAGGCAAATGAATAGGGGGTCTGTAGGCGACTCCTCTTGCAGGTGACACCGAATAATGCACTCTCAGACCAGCTGCGATCTCCTCTTTATTTGCCCCTCTTTTCTTTGACCCGCATTATTAAAATTTAGGCCCAATGAAACTATTCATACATTTCAATGGGACATTTTCCTATAGGATAATAGGCTACAAATTGAGCCTCTCCAAAGGGGGGAGTAGGGGGGTAAAACAACAACACACAGACACACACCACACAAAAAGGACCGTCGTGTGCCAAAGGCTCGCGGGAGCCTCCCTGGGCCTGCAGAGGGGAGGAGGGGAAAAAAAGGGGGGGATCGTGTGCCAGCCCCCAGTCCCACACCTGCCGGGATGTCCCAGCACATAAAGCGGTGTAAACAAAAACCCTCGCTGCCATCTCTCATAAAGATGGACGTGTCACCAAGTCGTGTGAGAAAAGCCTGAGAACAAACGGGGCCACTCCGTCTCCAAGGGCTCTCCCTTGAACTGGGCGGAACAGCCTATTAAGGGCTTACTTAATTACTTTAATGACTCTGGACAGGCTTTAAAATGCAGTCAGCGCTTGGACAGGGGAAGAAGGGGGGGGGCTGCCTGGGATTTGTAAACAGGCGATCGTGTGAGAGACCAGGCGCTTGGAACTAAAGAAGAGAGCTTGTGTTCACACGCTGCTAGCGCGCCACTGCGCTCTGCTTGCGGCTCCCCTTAGTCCTGTTGCCATGCAAATGTTATTCTGGGGGCGATCACGTGTCCTTTGAAGGTCCACGTGGAGTAACAAAGCTGATCTGCCCCCTGCTAGCCCCCTGGACTGAAAAAAAAACTTTTTTTTTTACTCCTTTAAAACTGATCTTTAATGCATACATTCCCCAAACTGCTCTCCCTAATCCTAGGGAATCAGGCAGGCCATGAATACACCGAGTCTCCCCCCAGAAATGATCGCTTTATAAGCAGCCCTTTGGAGGCTAGGGGGCTGCAGTGCACCTGAGACTCTTGAGAAGACACAGCCGTTCCCATCTGCTAGGCTTTCCCCAGTGGTGTGTCTTCCCAGGATGGCCTCTAAACTAAAGGAAAGGAAAGTAAGTTGGAGCTAATCCTTGCGCACTGGAGTTGCCGGTTGCTTTCCCAGCCGCGACAGAACGACGGTTTATTGGTAGTCTTTTAAAAAAAAAGCCTGGGCTCGTGTTTGGTTTGGAAAACCATAACTTAACACTCAGACCGATCCTCAGCAAGAGCACTGCTGTGAAGATCAGGTTTGGTGGGGACCTCCCCTGTGCAGTCAAGCAGGGCTGGAGGAGCGATCGCTTCTGGGGCCAAAATTAACCTGGTTCTTTAAAAAAAATAATAATCTAGTGAAATTTATATGCAAGTGGCTTAATGAAAGTCAGATCAAATGTCTGACGTTAGAGTAACTTTTTTTTTAAAGGTGAATATCTCTGGATAAAACTAGAAACCAAAGGCTGTGGGGAGTTTCTCTTTGCGTTTTGGGATGATGTCTGCTCATGTTTCAGACGCCTTGTTCCATGTGTCTGTCTGCACATTGTGTGTTATAGAGGACTCCAGTGTCTCACAAAGTGATTGAGAAAAGAAGGAGGGATCGGATCAATCGCTGCCTCAATGAATTGGGGAAGACCGTGCCAATGGCTTTGGCAAAACAGGTATGCTCCAGCTGCTGGCTAGAGCGCTGAAAAGTGCGTGCCGTCGTTACCAAGGGGGACGTGACACATAGTTGTATGTTTAAGAATGAACATATGTAGCTGCAATGACCTTCTTTGGTTTGGAATGACTTTTGTGACGGAGGTGTATCTGGGAAGTAGCTACCAGGTTCATACAGTCAGCAAAGGAAAGTGGCTTGCGTGTCAATGCTCCCTGGCGCTTCCAAATCCCTGACCGGCTTTAGGATCCATGGGTTTGGTGAACTCACCAAGAATAGTTCTGGCTCTGGTTTCCTCCAGGCGTTTCATGAGGGTTTTGTCTGTGTGTTTCAGAGCTCTGGGAAGTTAGAGAAAGCTGAGATCCTGGAAATGACTGTTCAGTATCTGCGAGCCTTGCATTCGGCAGATTTCCCCCGTGGCAGAGAAAAGGGTAGGTACAACGCTTAGCGTCTTGGTGCCCGTAGTGATCCGTGCACGTTTGGCACACAGGGGAAAATCTTATTGCAACCACGGCTGGTTCTGCAAGCACTCCAAGGACATCCCACCCTTTCACAGTGTAAATCACATTAGCTACAACCAGAACTGCTGAGGAGTGGGTGGTTGGAGAATGAAATAATCTGCGTACTGGTTTAACTGGGCTGTGTTAACATTCAATGGCTACACGTGCAGGTCTCAGTATCTCCAACACTCAGAGAGACATTGTGGGCTGGAATTTTTAAAACTTCCTTAGGTAAAAAGCAGTGAGGTCAGAGCCTGACCCGTTATCCTGTTCCGTTTCTTTCCAGCAGAGCTTCTAGCTGAGTTCGCCAACTATTTTCACTATGGATACCACGAGTGTATGAAGAATCTAGTCCATTACCTGACCACAGTGGAACGGATGGAGACCAAAGACACCAAATATGCTCGGATCCTGGCTTTCCTGCAGTCCAAAGCTCGCTTTGTCACCGAACCCATCTTCACCACTCTGGGATCGCTCCCAGAACCGGACTTCTCCTACCAGCTTCACCCAGCTCCGGAGTGCCCGGCTCACAGTCCCAATGAGTCTATGTTTCAGCAGGGATCCGGGGCTCCGTTTTCCTGGCATGGTCCTGCCAGAAGCCCCACCATCCCTTACCTTCCCAACGCAGCAATGCCCCTCCCTAACCCCGGTCAGCAACGCAACTCTTTCCTGTCGTCAGTTCAAGGTCTGGACAGACACTATCTCAACCTGATCGGCCATTCCCACTCCAGCACCTTCAGTCTGCCCCACGGCCAGCATCCCCCCTCTGTGCTATAGAGACTCGGCCTGCAGGCTGCATATTTATGTCGGGGAAAGAGTACGTTATCCACAGTCGCATACACCATACATTCACTTAGTAAGCGCTAGTGTACAAATGTAAATACATATGATTGTGAAGTTATAGCTCGGAATAAATTATCACTGGGGAAGATTAAGGATGTTTCCAGCGTGAGTTGTTTTTGCGATGCGTTATTTATCCAACCTGCTAGCTTGTCCTTGCACGCTTCGGTTCTATGTGCAGGGCACAAACCACGTACAGCGCTTGGAATAAATGTGATATAAACTCTTTGGTCTGGTTTCCCATCGGCACTTCATTGGTGGAGGGGGGGAAATAAAACCAACGGAAACGGCTGTGATAAAGGGTTGGGGAGACGCGTGTCTCCAAGCGTTGGGACTAGCGCAAATGGTGCGCTCTGGCGCTAGCGTGTTTATGGTCTGCCGCGTAACTATGCGGAATTAACACGTTGCCTGTTGGCACGGCGGGCGAGAGAGGCAAACACTGCAGTGTTTCGGTGTTCAGGTAAACCTCAGTTCACCGCACACTCTTTAAAATACAGTAGCGTTCATGCGTCTCCCAAGAGCCCTCTGCTTTATCAAGCGTCGATATCGCCCCTGAAATCATATTCAGAAAAGTAGCTTTGAAGTTGTGTGTGTATATACATGTGTTTATATAGAATCATGGAGGGTATGTGTATACACACCGTACACGTGATCCTCAGAGACAATGAGCGGGACCAGTGCATGCTTGTCTCACAAACATCCCTGTATGTAAATCCATGCTAACCTGACATTGTTACAGTTACAATACAGCAGTATTAAGGCTGCAAACGAAACACTTTTAGTACAATTATGAAGATTCCTTGGGGCGAGCTAATAGACAGGAAGGAACCAGCCTATCCATTTTCCCCAAGATGTACGGGTGACCTGACTCCAACGGTAAGCAGAAAAGGAGTTTTTTTGTTGTTGAAGTGGGAAAGAATATTTTACTAGGAAGGGACGATTTCCCTTCAGTCTTATTCTGGAATTTCCTTATGGCCATTTATCTCCTTAGGAGGAAAATAACAGGAAAAGATGTGGCCTAAAGAACAAAGTGAGATTAGACTCTGTAGCACTTGGCGTATCACAGACAGTAGTTTAACAGGTGGAAAAAAATACACACAGAAAAAAGCTCAGGAGAAGCCGAGCCTTTAACGTTGTCCCACAGACTCTGGCTTGTATAGTGGCCAATACCAGATTTTTTCTCTTTACATTCTTCAATAAAATCGCCATTTCACCGAGTCGGAGCTGAGTCCTCTGTTCAACACGGGAATATCAGGCGTGTTTTTAGGGGCTGCAGGGAGCGCTCAGTGACACTGCAAAGAGATACGCTTCCTTAGTGACGGGTATTTCTATGGAGATCAATTTTCGTTACAGAAGCATCAAAACAGGAGGCGTGGAGAGGCAAACAAGCCTCCCAGCATGAGGAGCAAATCTACAGGTTCACTGTCTTGAAAAGCAACACTGGCATCCAGGCAAACAAGAGTTTAGCTAATATTCCTTTGCCCAGCCATGCCTTCCTTTTGAGCTGTTGGGAAATTTCAGCAGTTTCAATTCTCCTACCTCGGCTGAGTCAGTGAATAAGAACCAACCTAGTCTGTGCTCTGACAGCAAATGGTTTCTTACACGTGATTCCCGATGCGAGTTATTAGTATTTTTCCTGTGGTTTGCACTCCCCGATCCGTTGACGAAGGTTAAATTAACTTATTCCATTGCACGCTGCAGCCTTGAGGGAGATCTGACCCGGAGTGTTTACTGAGGTCATGGAATGGGCTGACCCACAATTTGTAAACCATCAACTCCTTTATTCAGAGATAGACAAAAAGATCTTCATTACAATGAGTGAAAAGTGTCATGTGTACCTTCCATTTAAACTGTAAATACAGAAAAGCCTTGAGTTTCAGATTGACAAGAAAGAGGCCGTATTACAGGGTAAAGGGAGGAGAAAGACATTCTATTGCATTAGGATACATTTGGGACCTTAAATCCGAGCGAGGAAAGCAGGAAAATACCTCTTGCTAAATGTACGTAGGGCGATATGGGATAAACCAAATGTATTCAGCAGAAGAATGGCTGGTGCCTATTATGAAAACACATGTCTTACACTCATTTTCACCAGCGCTTGATGCAGAAAATGAAGCAAGTCTTTCACGATTTTTATTCTGTGAGCATTAAGCCATTCTGAATCCTCTTTTGCACTGAAGCATTACAGATATAGTGTTACCCTGGAAATATAAATTATTAATATATGCAGCATTTTGGTCACTGTTAACCAAATTAGACAAAAACTTTCCTTTGCTAAGTAGATTTCCTCTCTGGGATTAGCACAGGGCCACCACGGTCAAAACTTTGGTCATTTACATATAATTTTGCAAACTTGCACTGGTCCATGACAGTCTTTGTACCTTGAATGTAGCTATTCTCGATTTTTTTGTCCTTCTCGTTTTCATTTAACTGTGGAGGATAAATCCTGCTTTGGATTGCCAATGACTTTAGGATAAAAGTCTCCCCCGCTTTCCCCCACCCCCTCCGCGTCTATCGCTCTCTGGAACCTCTCCCCCGTTCCCCAATCTTGGCCAAAAGTCGAATCTGAGCTGGTTTGACTTCCCATAAGATGAATAATGGCAGCTCGTCCCAAGGAGGGAACTGACACCAACCAGACTGCGAGCTAAATGTGTTTTGCCCTCGCCCACAATGCCTGGCTTCGGGGCCCCTCTTTCCCTGTGCGCTCCCTTTAAGTGAGTTGTACGGTTTCCAAGAGAGCCCCCAACAAAACCCAGCCAAAGCTCGCGGTGATGTGTGCTGGAGGTGACCCATTGTGGAGCCGCTGAAAGGGACAATCTCTTATTTCTTGGGTTTCATCCTTGAGTGGGCAGGAATAAAAATAATCAGCGCCATGAAATCAAAGGGTCTGTCCATACAAGGGGGAACAAAGCTCCTCGCGGGAGCTGGGGCTCCGTCCCCTTGACTCTGCCTTGGCCGGTGGAGGAGCCCGCCAGGTCGCCTGGTTTGAGCGCCCGGCAGCCTCCTTAATACAGAAGTCACTTGTGCTTTCAAGCGTCATTGAGCAAACAGAGCCTCGTGTTCCCTCCCCGCCTGCGCGCCCAGCACCGCGTCCCCAGCGGCTAGCCAGCCCGCACCTGCCCCGGCCGGCGGCCCCAGCGGGGAGGAAGGCCGGCCAGGAGCCGCCGCGCCCGTGGCAGCTGCAAGCAGGGCCCAGGCAGCCGCAGGAGATGATGGGCAGAGCGGACCCCCCCCGGGGGAGACCCTGGGCAAAGAGAGCGGACGAGCAGAAGGCGAGCTCACAGCGAGGCAGCCGGGGTGGCTGCCCCAAGCTGGTAGGAATCAGTTCCCTCCCCGAGCTGAGCTGACATTAACCGGCTCCTGGGAAGGCCAGATAGCCCCCATTCGACCTGTGGCACACACAGTCCCAGACACACATTCCTTCAGCACACACAGCCACAACCACACTCACCCAGAGCACCTTGACATCTCCCCACTTAGGCTTCCTCTTGTAGGAGACCATGCAGCAGTGGGTCCTTTAATGATGTAATCTCTCTCTCTCTCTCTCTAAATTAGTAAATGGCCCCTATCACTGTCATATCGGCGCGCCTTATGACCATTAATGATATGATCCACGCAACCCCCAATGAATGAGGAAAGTGTTATCTGCAGCATATGGGGGGAAACTGAACCAGAGAGGTTAAATGACTTGCCGAAAGTCCGCAGAAAGTTTGTGAAAACCCGCAAAATTGAACCCATATCTTCCCAGTCTCACACCAATGCCTTAGCCACAAGACACATTTCCCCTCTTTAAAGCAAATGTTCATGAAGGATCACCTATCAACTGGCACCAGTACAATAACAATGTAGCATTCTCTATTTTATACATTCTGAAACAGGTATTATATTATGATCCCCTGCAGTAACGTCAAACATTGCACAGAGAGAAAATCACTGACTCCATACACATGGAAACAATATGAGCGAGGACACCTCACTCACATGCATAGTGCCCTTCCCTGTCTGAGGAAATGATCATACTGCTGATGGTGTTTGCCGTTCTATAGAGCTCTCTCTCCCATAGTGTTTGGCAATGATACAATAGTTCACATATCACTGCCCCTCTTTACTTCCCTGCCGAGGTATGAATATTTTGGCAGGCCTCCAGTCATTTTCATCTGTGTTTCTGGATATCTTCATGCTAAGAGGGGAGGCTTTGGACATTTCTGAGTACCGGTGTAAGGAACATGGGTGCATTTTCCTGTAGACTATATTGAAGCACATGGGAGCTGGATTATATCTTTCACAATTGGCCAGCCCAAGTCAGCAGTGTACTGAGGACATAGCTAGGGAATGTTCACTGTCAAGCTGATATTCTTGTTTGTTAACGTTTGCTTTGGGACCGGGGCGGATGTAGCCTCCCAATTCAATGGGTGCCCAAAGAGAGACAGACAGAAATGCATAGCACATGTGGTGACAGATGGATGCACATGCAAATGGACTCAGGGAGCATCTCAGCCTCGCCATGCCCCTCCTGGGCATATCCCAAACATGCAGGGGAGGGAGGATGTGGTCCAGTGAGGGGTCAAGGCACGGCCTCAGCACAGGACCTGCTCTGTTCTGTGTGGCCACCCCACAGCCACCCACTTGCGGTGACAAGAGAGACCTCACCTGGGACATGGCTGGGGAAACAGCTCTGCTCAGCATCCAGACCTGGCTGCTCAGAGCAGGAAGATGCCCCATCATGAGTCCAGCATGCAGCACCCTCCAGTCTCTGCTGTCTGGAGACCAGGCCAGGCGGCCAGGCCTCCTTTCCAGCCCACAACCCCACTCCCTGTGTCAGGATACTGCCCTTCAGGCCTCTGTAGCAGTGTGCTTCTTTGACATTGAGGGTATGTCTATACTACCTGCTGGATCGGTGGGCAGCGATTGATCCAGTGGGGGTCGATTTATCGCATCTAGTGTATACGCGATAAATTGACTCCCGAACGCTCTCCCATCCACTCCTGTACTCCTCCACTGTGAGAGGTGCAGGCAGAGTCGATGGGGGAGTGGCAGCAGTCGACTCACCGCAGTGAAGACACCGTGGTGAGTAGATTTAAGTACGTTGACTTCAGCTACGTTATTCACGTAGCTGAAGTTGCGTAACTTAGATCGATCTCCCCCCTATTGTAGACCAGGCCATATCTGTGCAGCAACATGGCCCGGAGAAGCGCAACCATGTTCTGTAAGGTGTTTTGGCACCCTTGGTTTCATTATTTCTGTGGGTGTAGCTAAACCCATGAACCCCTGCTAAAGCCACCCCTGCACTAGGACAATGCTGGCAGTTGTACATATGTGCAGACACAACTCAACTTCTTATTATCTTTGCAGCTGAAGTTGTTTTGCAGCAGTTCATATATGTAAGAAGAGGAATATTTTTCCTGAAAGACATTGCTTTTATTTTCACAAATTTCAAGACAGTAGAATCTGCATTAGTCATCTGCTGGGCTAAAAATTACCTTGGCTGCGAATTTGCCTCAATCATTGTACACACCTTTCCCTCATCTGGCAGCCTTTCACTTCCCAGCCTTCAGGTCTTCCTCTCTCCTCCCTCAAAGAGAGAAAAATGATCAGGAACAATCAGCATGGATTCACCAAGGGAAAGTCATCCCTGACTAACCTAATTGCCTTCTATGATGAGATAACTGGCTCTGTGGATGAGGGGAAAGCAGTGGATGTGTTATTCCTTGACTTTAGCAAAGCTTTTGAAACAGTCTCCAACAGTATTCTTGCCAGCAAGTTAAAGAAATATGGGCTGGATGAATGGACTATAAGGTGGATAGAAAGCTGGCTATATTGTCGGGCTAAATGGGTAGTGATCAATGGCTCCAGGTCTAGTTGGCAGCTGGTATCAAGTGGAGTGCCTGAAGGGTTGGTCCTGGGGCCGGTTTTGTTCAATATCTTCATTAATGAACTGGAGGATGGCGTGGATTGCACCGTTTGCAGATGACACTAAACTGGGAGGAGTGGTAGATATGCTGGAGGATAGGGGTAGGATACAGAGGCACCTAGACAAATTAGAGGATTGGGCCAAAAGAAACTTGATGAGGTTCAACAAGGACAAGTGCAGAGTCCTGCACTTAAGACGGAAGAATCCCATTCACTGCTACAGACTGGGGGTCGAGTGGCTAGGAAGCAGTTCTGCAGAAATGGAACTAGGGGTTACAGTGGACGAGAAGCTGGATATGAGTCAACAGTGTGCCCTTGTTGCCAAGAAGGCAAATGGCATTTTGGGCTGTATAAGTAGGAGCATTGAGAGCAGATCAAGGGATGTGCTCATTCCCCTCTATTCGGCATTGGTGAGGCCTCATCTGGAGTACTGTGTCCAGTTTTGGGCCCTACATTACAAGAAGGATGTGGAAAAATTGGAAAGAGTCCAGCGGAGGACAACAAAAATGATTAAGGGGCTGGAGCACATGACTTATGAGGAGAGGCTGAAGGAACTGGGATTATTTAGTCTGCAGAAGAGAAGAATGAGGGGGGATTTGATAGCTGCTTTCAACTACCTGAAAGGGGGTGTCATAAACATATTGCTAAGGGTAGCATAAAATCCCTTAAAAAGCAACAGAGGGTCCTGTGGCACCTTTGAGACTAACAGATGTACTGTTAGTACTACTTCTGTTAGTCTCAAAGGTGCCACAGGACCCTCTGTTGCTTTTTACAGATTCAGACTAACACGGCTACCCCTCTGATACATAAAATCCCTCTTTACCCTGTAAAGGGTTAATCCCTCCTTTACCTGTAAGAGGTTAAGAAGCTCAGATAATCTGGTTGGCACCTGACCAAAAGGACCAATAAGGGAAGAAGATATTTTCAAATCTGTGGAGGAAGTTTTCTGTTTTGTGTTCCGTTGTTCTCTCCAGGTCAGCGAGGAACCAGGGCAGGGAAAATACATCTCCCTAAGCCATATTTAAACTAAGCATCTAATATTACAGAAATAGTAAGTAATAGCAAGGAAATGCGTTAGATTATCTTTTGTTTTAGCTTGTGAATTTTCCCTGTGCTAAAAGGGAGGTTTATCCCTGTTTTTGTAACTTTAAGGTTTTGCCTAGAGGGGAAATCCTCTGTGTTTTGAATCTTTTTGTTACCCTGTAAAGTTATCTTCCATCCTGATTTTACAGAGGTGATTCTTTCATCTTTTTTTTGTAAATAAACTTTGAAGAACCTGATTGTTTTTCAGTGTCCTAAAGACCCAAGGGGTTTGATCTGTGCTCACTTTGTAACCAATTGTTTAGGATATTATTCTAAAACCTCCTCAGGAAAGGGGGTGTAGAGGCTTGGGGGGATATTTTGGGGGAGGTTGGGCTCCAAGTGGCCCTCCCTTAATGTTTGTTTAAATCACTTGGTGGTGTCAGCGATACCAAGGGCAAGGAAAGAATTTGTGCCTTGTGGAAGTTTTAAACCTAAGCTGGTAGAAATAAGCTTAGGGTTTTTTTTTTCATGCGGGTCCCCACATCTGTATCCCAGAGTTCAGAGTGGGGAGGGAACCCTAACAGGGGGTTCCAAAGAGGATGGATCTAGACTGTTCTCAGTGGTAACAGATGACAGAACAAGGAGTAATGGTATCAAGTTGCAGTGGGGGAGGTTTAGGAAAAACTTTTTCACTAGGAGGGTGGTGAAGCACTGGAATGGGTTACCTTGGGAGGTGGTGGAATCTCCTTCCTTAGATGTTTTTAAGGTCAGGCTTGACAAAGCCCTGGCTGGGATGATTTAGTTGGGGATTGGTCCTGCTTTGAGCATTGGACTAGATGACCTCCTGAGGTCCCTTCCTATCCCGATATTCTATGAAAGCCCCATTCCTTTTCCAACCCCTGTGCTCCTATTAGCTCAATCCTTCCTAAGTTCCCCTCTCTTCACTCCAGCCCTATATATTAAAAAAAGCTTTCACTTTATCTCTGGAGACAGCAGTTATGTCTCATCAGCTTGGACCGTCCCTTCTCCACATCAGTGGATGTACAGACCAAAAGTCCATTTTATGAACAATGGCTGACAAAATGTGCTTTGACAGTTCCATAACTGGTGTGCATTCTTGTTGATTCTTCATTCAAGCAGAGAAGAGACAAGGATTATTTTAGTGTCATTTAACACAAAACAATCCCTAATTTATTTATATTATAGTGGTGGCTAGAGGCCACTAACTAAGTTGCAGGCTAGCAACCTAACCACTAGACCACCCTTCTTCTCCTGCTACCCCACTCTCTGAGATAGGCAACTAGAGATTATTCAGATGTTATAGTGATGAGTGCCTCAAACATACCTACAATTAAATTAGATAGAGTGATCCCAGCACAGGAGGAAGAGGCCAACTGCTTCTTTGTGACTATCCAGGAAGAGTCTGCACCATAGACATAGACTCTTGGAAACTGCAATATACTTCATTGGCCTCTCCTCCAGAAGGCAGGCTGCTGGATACAGACTTTTTGGTGGACAACTTCGCTATTCATAGGATAGCAGCTTCAGAACCTGATCTCAGTGTCCAGATCCAGCTTGTCTGGTTCAAGTGGGGATGGATTTCATCCCTAACTATTTGTCCATCTCTATAAACTAACCTTACAGAACTGGTAAGAGAATCAAGTCCTAAGGCTGTTTTGGAAACAACACTCCTGCCCGCTTTTTATTAGATAACATGTAACAATGGCAAAATGTACCAGATGTATTTTCACAGTCACATGGGCAGAGTAAAGTATGGCATAGCACATGTTGACCTACATGCCACCCTGTACGCATTAGCATGGCATCTATTGAAAGGATTGAGAGACTGATAGCAACTGGATGAAACTGAAAGTTCATATGTAAAAAAAGAGACTTTTATTTGGAAAGTTCAATGTGACTGAGACCGAAAATGTTAAATCCAGGTTCATTTTGAAATTAAACCCTGTAATGCTAACTTTGAAATTACAGCAATACAAAATCTTTAAACATGCATGATATTTCATCACCTCTATTAAGATTAGTGCAGTTAGATTAACAATAAATGCTTTTTTGTTAACAGAAATGTGTATTTTTTGCTTGTTCAGTGAAAAGTAGCTTCATTATTCATTACTGTAACAATATAAAAGCTTACAGTGCAGTTCTAATTCACACTAGGTACAGAAAAGCAGGCACCATACTGCAGGTGCTTCACACAAATGCAGGGAGGTCAGTGATGAATCAGGGCCTTAACTCAACAAATATCCTCAGCTGGTGCAAATGGTCATAGCTCCATTGACTTTAATAGAGCTATGACAATTTACACCAGTTGAGGATCTGCCTCATGGTGGGTAATCAGAACTACACCTGCTCTCTATTGTAAAAATTATTTTTTCAAACTGCTTCTTACTCTTGTTGGCACTGCAGAGTCCTCACAACTGCTGGGGAATGAGCTGGTTTCTCTTCCTGCTCACACCAGGGCCAAAACTCATTTGTACTCATTTACGGCTGTGCAATCCCACCAAGGGAAATTAGATAGTACAAGCCCATTGTACACAATAGGGTTATACTGGTATAGCTGAGGGTAGATTTGACGTACACTATGAGACAGCAAGCAGGGGAAAGAATTTGGAAAAGGAGCTACAGCAGGAATTAATCTTTTCCTCTATGATTTCCAAAATACATAGACAGCAAAGATCCTGCAAGACCAACACATCACAGGATAATAATGAACATTTTTATTTATAATGGATTTCAAGTGAGTAGCTGCAAGGGAAGAGTGTGTTCAAAGCAAACCAAAAAGAACTCCTCTCTCATGGTAATACCTTGTGTAGACATGCCTGGCCAGATCCTCAGCTAATGTAAATCAGCAAAGCTTCACTGAAACCAATGGAACTATATTTATATACATAAGAAGTCTTTTTAGTGGAATTACATCAGCAGTGAATTTGGTCCTATGTACTGAGTAGACAAATGACACATATTTAAGTGAGTTCAGATATTTATTTAACCAAACCAACTATGCACTTACATGTTTATGAAAATGTATTTGTACTACAAAAATAAACAGATAACTAACATGGATCTAAACATACAACTGCTTTGAGCATGGAATGTGCAGTGAAGTCATGTGCAGAGCTGCTGCAGAATTGGGCCCTTTGCCTGTTGTACTCTATGGAGAAAATACATTTGTAAGAAAAAAGAAAAGATAACTAAGCATGAAAATGTATGTTTATATTAAGGGCCAAATTCTGGTTAACACATACAAAGGACCTGATCCAACTCCCAGTGAAATCAAAGGGACTCATTGTCATTGCATCCTAAACAGCAAAAATCCACCTGGTACCTTCACTGAAAGTTTTATTTTATTAAAAATTAGCATCTCTCTAAACAGCATCCTTGCCTCTGCTTTTCAGAATATTAGTTTCCTTAGTAACAGCTTGAATCAAGTTTTAAATAGAGTACAGTATTTGTTTAATACTCAGCTTCACTCTCTGCTCTCTCAGTTTTTATTATCCCCCTACAAAACAACTGGTAATACAGTGGGCAACTCATGAGTAGCCAAAAGACACACAGCAGAGATCCACACTCCAAAAAGAAGCAAATGACTTAGCTGGAAGGATAAACAGCTGGGAGCATGCAGACACCATTCTTCCTCTTCTACTCACAAGAATATTCTACATTATTTTATTGCGGGTTTGCAGGAGATTTTTTGGCTGTACGTGGTTGCCCTTTTTTGCAAGTTTCTTCCAAAAAGGACTTGTAATCAATTCGCCCATCCAGGTTGGGATCAAACTTAGACAGAATGTGGTAAACCTCATCCTCATCTAGCAGAAGGTTACAGAGCTTCAGGACAGATCTGAATTCTGGCAAAGAGAGGTAGCCACTGCTGTCAATATCCAGCTTCTTAAAGGCTCTTCGAAGGGTCTTCCAGTCCCCTCGTAACTACAGCCAGAAAGAAAAACAATTGGGATGTTGAATTACCACAGTGAAATAACAACCAAACCATTATGTGCTGTGAGGCACAATGTCCCTCTTATTATTTCATCTGAACTACCAAATTGTGAGGTACGCGGTAGCATGCTTTGCTGTACGTACCTGCGCATTCACAGGTCAGCACACTGACAAGGTTCACATAATATAGTTTCACTTTGATTGCTTTCTTTCCCCCAAGGGCCTCAAATTGCTTCATAAACATTAAAGCAAAAATTTTCAAAAATGGCTGCCTGAAGTTATGCTTGTATGCCCATAGTTAGAAGCCTAAATAAGTGGCCCAATTTTCAAAAATCTAACTGAAGGCAGTGGCAGTTTGACAAATCAGGTCATTTATCTAGGCACCTAATATGGATTTATGAGTCTAACTTTAGGCACCCAAGTTTGAAAATCTTGGCCTCCAGGCTCAGCTGTGGCTGGCTCTCGTAAGAGCACAATGGTGGGGGCAGGGAGGGGGAAGTGGACATCGCCAAGGAAACTTCCCCCCCTTTTGCTCCTGAACCTGGGCTAGGTACAATTCCTAAAAAATGTTTTATTGGTTGGCCTTTACTGGAGATGTATCTCATCCTGCCCCTTCCAGAACTCATCCATGTGATATTTTCTTTCAAGGATTCTTCCTTATCATCATTTCATTCTTGACAAGTGGAAGTTCCTGGAAGATGTCATACAGGATATCAATACCATACCACAAGAAAAAATATGCTCCGTACTTGGACAATAGTGGCATGACCTCAAACACTGCAAGGGTCTGCCTAAAAATAAAGTATTATGTATGCCCAGGCACAATCTGTGTTTGCCTACTAAGTATTCGAATTCATCTACCTCGGATATTTCAAAGGCACTGCCAATGTCCATGGTAAAATATAAAGTGCAACATCAAATCGAGACAAGTTAAGTACAGCTCCTACTGCCTCAGCCAAAGTAAAGCTCCTACTTCATCTCATTTGATAGAGCCACTGTCCGTGGACAATAAGGATCTGCCTCATTTGTAAACACATGCAAACTGCAGACATAGCCAGTTCTGCCACTGACCAGAGAACTTCGATGATTGTTCTAGTGTCTGGCTACCAGCTGGCAGACAAAGCCAGTACATCATGAGTATGTTCTAGCACAGTTGATCACTGGACTTTTAGATTTGATAGCTAAGCAATTTAAAATGGATAAGAATTCACATTTAAAAGTAAAGCTACTAGCCATGACAGCCATCATACCTTTTTTCGTAGTCTAGTTGTCAGACCACCCAGCTCTGCAGTCTGCGTTCCTATGTGGGATTGGTCTGTCTCACCCTGAGATGCCTGCATTGCAGCAGCCATGTTATTCCCGTTCTTCCATCTTTGTCTACTTAAAGCAAAGGGCTTCAGAAACTCCAGGTATGAAACCCTTAAAGAAAAAATATGTTCATACGTTTCTACAAAACTACCTGCGTGGTATCTTAATACATCTTCTCCATTTGAATACTGTGTTCCAAATTTTCTATCATCCTCAAAATCTGTGTACTTAAATCTTGTGTATGTGATCATTTCCATGCATAATCTCCAAATGTGCCCATGCAAATCAAGTAGTTGGATACCTAGCCACCTTTTCTGCATCACTAAGCATGCAATTCTGTGGCTGCCGATATAAAGTCCATCTTGTAACACTGGACTGTAAGGAACACATTTACATCTGCTTAGATTATTATTTTTTATTTTAACAGGACCCAAAATGTGAAGAGGCTCCATCCAATACAGATAAAGTACATCTCTGCCCTGCAGAATTTACAAATTAATTTCAAACAAGATGCAATGAAGGGTAAGAAGAGAATAAGGAAGGGAAGGGGAGGAATGTCAGGGGCAACATTATTAAGATTAAGCAGTTATTATGCAAAAGCTAGTGCACAGCATGGTGAAGCAAGTAATACTTTAAAGTGGGACATGTGGATAGCATTAAGGAGTAGGCTAACTACCTGGCAAATTTCTTGAAAGCATCATGAAAGAAGTGGGTTTTCAAGAGGGATGTAAAAAAAGGAGAGGGCAGTGGCTGTGCAGACCAGGTCCAAAAGGGCATTCCATAAATTTGGGGCTATGTGGAAGAAAGCATGGAGATAGTTGTGGGAGAAGCAGATGGAAAGGGTGATAATGCTGGCAATACTGGTGAAGTGAAGCGTAGATGAGGGGGCGCGCAATTCACAAAAAGATGAGGTCAGATATGTAGTGAGGGGCAGAAGCATGTTGAGTAAAGAGTTGCTCCTTGAGGATGGAGAAACCAGGACATTCTTGTACTGTGCAGGGAAGGAAATAGAGGAGAGTGTGAAGTAAAGACAGAAGGAAATGGGTTAGGAAAAACCTAGAGTGAAATCCTACCTCCATTGAACTCAGTGGGAGTTTTGCCATTAACTTCAATGGAGCCAGGATTTTACCCCTAACTTTTTAAAAAGCATACAGCCTGTCACTGTCTAGCCCACAGCTAATAGCATTTATTTACTGACTTATGACCTTATATTAAGTCATTGTTTATATTCAGTGCAAAACCCAACAACAATGAAACTTGAGGTTCTGATTTTACACACACAAAATCCCCAGAAGTCAATCATGAAATTGCATTTATGTTAGACTGCCCAATGTTATATGATTAAGTAATGAAAGACCTTCAAATAATGCATATTATTTGATGTTAATTCCCTGGAAATCAGGTAATCTTGCAGATTTTACTGTTGTTTTTTTTCAAGACTCTAAGAGCTTATGTTTATATATAGAAAAATTAAATTACTGGTTATTGTCACAACCAGAAGAACAAGGAGAATGTAAACAATGTTCCCTCTAATTTTTGACAGGCTGTGTGCACAAAAAATTTCTTCTGTGCAAATTTTTGAAGCAGAGTTCAAATTTGTGCGCCATGAGGCAAATGCGCCCAAGTGAGTACAATGCTTATACATTTAAAAAGTTTTAATTTGCAATTTGTGATCATAATAGTTTTACACCATGTTATTTTATAAATGTCATTTTTAAATACTTAGAAAAAGGAAATTTAATCATTCTTCATGAAGCAGAAGTTTGTTTTAAGCTTTACGCTTTACGATCTTTTTTATAGACAATCACGAGTATATATCAAGCACATATTAATCATGATCATTATCAGTCCATAGGCTTCTGCCCGTTGGTATCCACTTTCACCTTTCATTCTATACACATGTCCGAAAAGATTTTGATAAACATATCATACAGACAATTTAATAAGTATGTCATTATGTCAATTTATATAGGTTTTCAGATAGAGACATCATAAGTAAAAAAAGAAAAACAAGAGTTTGTGTTTTAAATTTAAAATTTTCCTAAAAAATATCAATAAATAATTAGCAGCCAAGAATAAGATATGTAATTACAAATGCATTTTAATTTCCTTATTGGTCGAAATGTCAAAGACTGCTAAACTAACCTTACTGTTTTCCTCTGCGATCTTTTTCATTTGCCTATTCAATATAAACTCTGTCCAGATCTATCAGTCCTCCATCCAGCTGGTAACTCTTAACACACATCAGCATGTCCAAATGATCTACTTGTAAACGATTCCATAGTTTGTTTTTTAGAGTGTTCATTAAGCTAAAGCCACGCTCACAGTCTGCACTGGATGCTAGGAATGTTCCTCCAATATCCATCAACTTTGAAAGATACTGAAACTGTTCGTTCTGGTGAGCAAATGTCACCATATCCAGGAAACTTAAAACCAATTGGTTTTTGATTCTTTCAGGTACTGCAAACTTGAAGTCATTGTACTGACTGACTATAACAATCTCTGCAGCAAGAAAGTCTTTGTATTTTGAACATAGAGATTTGACCTGATGGATTCCAAAATTGAAGTCACACTTAACTACTGCTGAACAATCAAAAGCAGACCACTCCTGGACTTCATCCTCTGGAAACCTGTCTGCCAAATGTGCACACAAGATGTTTATGAACATTATTATGGAACTGGTACCAATTTCATTATTTTCTTGAGAGCTCATATCTAGGAGAGCCTTAACTTTGTCACTCCATAAGACTGAATCTATAAGGTACTGTCTTCTGCTCTTGTTCAGTTTACCTCGGGCAAGGTGAAATGCTTCCAGAGGTGTAAGGCCCCATTTCTGGAGCAGCGTGGATAGTGAGGCCAGCTCCGACAAAACATCATTCAAAACTTCTAATGTTATTTGGTATTCCATGGTATTCAGCTTTTTGTGGCAGTATTTAGAAACTGGATCAGTATCTTTGTTTTGCTCAAAATATTCCAGAAGAGGATTATAGTTGCAAATAATTGCTCGAAGTGCAAAGTGCCTAGATAACCAGCACACTTCATTGAGTGGCCTGAAAGCCACTGACTCACATTCAGAAACATCCACTATTTCCTGAAATTTGCATTTTCTCCTGGATGACCGACAGAACACCGTGTAGACAGTTCTCATTAAGGTTTCGATGTCTCTTATCAGCTTGACCTCTTTCCATGCATCAGAAATCCTCAAGTCTTCCCAGTGTGCAATGCAATGTTGCTGGACTAAGTGTGGAATATCATTTTTCAGCTGAGCCTCAGGCCATTGAGTTTGCCCAACATCAGATGTGAACATCACCATTTTCATTAGATCAAGTTGGTGTTTTTTATAAAGCTCTTTGATTGCAGACACTATTGAAACAGCATCACATTCTTGCAATTGTAATAGTCAACCAAATGAAGTTTTATAGTCTGCAGAATTTATGGATCTATATTTAAAGTAGAGTATCAAGTATCTGTTAATGGATATATCAGTGCTTTCATCAACAGCTAGAGTATGAAACATTGCCGATGCTATTTCATGCATGAGGTCATTTTGGACAATGCAGTTGATAATTTCAAGAAATTCAAAAGCATAATTTTTATTTCTCCAGCTCGCTGGTATGCGCACATACTTTTCCATATGGTCATTAATATCCTGAACAGAAAGCACTGAGCTGTTCATTTTAATAGCCAACAACATACTGTCATTAAGTACCTTGATTTCTTCTGGGTTTGAGCGCTTGCGTTCAAGATTAATTTGCCTCCTCTGCTTTTCAGATGAACTTTCAAGAATCATGCTAAGCAATCCGCTCCGTAAGGAAGGGTTTTTGTTTCTAAGTCTTCTTACACTATCTATATGAGACTTACTTGACAAATGATGCTTTAATAAATCCAACTTCCATACATCGTTCCACATTCTTCCTGTTGAAAATTCTCCAGAAGCTCTGGCATCTTGACAATATACACAAACCACTCCGTTGTCCTCATCATGTGTGAATATTTCACGAAGTTTAACAAGCATTACATTATGTGACTTTGGTGTAACCGTCTCTATAGTCTCATCCAGCCATCCAGATTTAAATGAAGTCACTGTTCTTTTACGCTTTAGACCTCTAGACAGTGACATTTGGGGACTGATTTTTTACCAGACTGATTTATTTAAAATTAATACTTTTATTACATGGCTACTATTTCAATGCGCTTAACAGCGTGACTCGACAAAAGGGCAAACAGGAGATCATTCAGATCTCTGTACACAGCCAAAATGAACAGACTACAAGGAGATATGTGGGTCCCGACCGTCCCAATGGGATCAATGTTCCACGTTCAAAATGCTGGTGGGGAGGGGTACGAAGGATTCATTGCCCTCCTTTCCCTTTCCCCACCTTGCCAGCTAGTAGAATCTGGCTGTGTTGATAGATGGCGGGTGAGCAATGTCAAAAGTCGCCCGTAAATGATATTTCAGCCTGGCTCCGATGTTGTATTTCATTTTTTGTGTACACGATGTTTCGCCGTGTGCGCAGGGCTTAGGATGTGTGCACATGCACACACGCACAGCTCAGAGGGAACAGTGAATGTAAACCAATGTGTGTTGCTGAGTCTGCAGTCAAAGTTTGAAATAATACTAGGCCAAATCTACATTAAAATACTTTTCCCAGTATAGCAATGCTAGTTAGAGATGTGTTAATTTTTTACAACATTACCATATCGGCAAAAGCCCTACTGTAGATGTGCTTATACCAGCATAAAAGTACTTTTGCAGGGATAGCTCACTTTCCTCAGGGAGCTGGTATAAACTATACCAGCAAAAGCACTTTTTTTGCCAGCATAAACTTAATCTACAGTAGATGGGTTTGCCAGTATAGTTATGCCCTAAGGGCTAGACCTTTTCTAGTGTAGTCTAGGCTTTAAAAAACTATGAACTTCCCATGTCACTGTTATGGAATGTTGACCCTGAAACCTCACTGAGAGGAACAGGGATTCTTTGCACACAGGGAATTAGGGTGACCAGATGTCCTGTTTTTATAGGAACAGTCCTGATATTTGGGGCTTTTTTCTTATATAGGCTCCTATTACCCCCTACCCCCGTCCCGATTTTTCACACTTGCTGTCTGGTCACCCTACAGGGAATCTAAATTTTTGTACCAATACAAAGGCAGAAGTTTATTTTGTACTTGGAGGAGGGGAAATATGGGTTAGAAATTCAGATTCTCAGGCTTATTTTATTAAAGTCAAGGCTCATATTAGCTCTAATTTTAAGACTACTGTAGGCCTTGATTTGGAGGCTCATTATCTTTCTCATTCAGAGGGATGCATTCGAAAGGTAAGGCTGCCATGTGACAGATGGGTCACCACAACTTTAGTTCCAAAAGAAAATTATTTGTTAGTTTTTAAAATTTCATTGTGAATGGTTTGGATGCATTTTGCTGCTCATAAAAGCAATGCACTAATGCTTTGTTGAGAGCTCAGCCACTGTACAGATAGTAAATTTTCACATCACCTGCACTAACACAACTCTTCCAATGCAGTTGAAACCTGACTTGCTAAACCCATTCTATTCCAGACCTGATTGTCTTTTCAGCAGAAACTTGCAAATTCAGTGACACTGTGAGTCTTAATTTTTGTGATTTGGGCAAAATGTCCAGCTGAGACTAGAACAGGAAAATCAAATGACCTAAGCAAGAATTTGAATTCCTGTCTTTAAAAAAGTGCATTAACCTGTTGTGCCACTTACAGTATCTAACACTCACTATTGTTTGTTCAGTGTTATAGACTTCCATTTAGATATCATATAAATGTTTATAGACCTACTTACTTCTAAATCTTTGTCCAAGTTTAACTTACCATCCATCTCCATTGCTTTCAAATTTCTGTCCCAGCATTTCACATTCATATTCATTAAGATGCGCACAGAGCTCAGTTAAAATATCTTTAAATTCCTCCTTGCTTACAAAGCCTGTATGGTAGGGGTCTAGCTCTTCAAACTCTTTCTTGAGATCATCCCACAAATACTCCACCTACAAGAAACAAACCACATAAAATCCTGTAGTGTTTAGGATGTACACCCAATCCTCTAACACTGCAGTGTATACTCCTCATGCAGTAACCAGAATGCAGCATCCCTGCTCTAATCCTTATGCATCTAGAGGCTTATTTTTTTCCTAAGGAAATGGGTGGGACAGATTCTGGAGGTATAGAGTCAATAGGACAGATTTTCTGCTTTTACTGACAACTCTGTACATCCAGAATAACTGCATTAACCTCTGTAAGGTTATTTTAGATTTACCAGTGAGGGTAGCCGATAGGTCTTTTGCCCTTGGCGAGATAGGGAAACTGCCTTTCTCTAGCATGCGAAGATTGTTCCGGTGGACTGGGCTGAGGAAATCAATTTGTGATTCAACGGCCATGCAGGCGGTTCAGCAACCTGCTGTGGGGCACAAAGAGCATGACAAGCCACGGAAGGTGTCCCAGTCCCCCACTGCAGCTAAGGAAGTCCCCAGCCATAATGATTCTTTGTACTGTTGGAATCTGGCTTCCACAGCCGAGAGAGTGGGACTGCCCCTGTGCAACGGCTTTCTCACTTAAAAATTTCCTGCACAGGTTTTCTCACAACTCTCATCCCATTAACATGTTATCAAATCTCATCATTATCAGCAGCAGTGACTGGAGAGGTGTGATAGGACAACATGGAGTGGGAAAGATGAACAGCAACACACTCCTGCTCTTGGGTAAATGTGCAGAACACAGTCTGCTCATCACTAACATCATCTTTAGGCAAAATGATAAATATAAAATGACATGGATGCACCCAGGGTCCAAACAATGGCACCTGATTGACTATGTTATCACCCGCCAACGAGACATCCGCAATGTCGGTCAGTGGCATGAATGAGAATAAAATGTGTTCCAGTTACATTTCTATTGTTAGCAAATCTACAAATCTAATATTTAAAAGTGAGATCTTCCTCTGAACTTGATGGGTGAAAGCCAAATTCTGCTCTTAGTTACACCTGTGTTTTTGTCCTCCCCTTGGGAAAAAAACATGAATGTAAAGTTTTTTAAAAGTTAAATTTAATTTGAGAGATATATCTAGAGAGAGGACAAAAACGACAGAGCTGTCATCCAGCCATTCGAGGCGTGAAATGCTCCTGGTCAATTTCTTAACCAAATCGTCCTTTCAGTGGGAATAAAAAAAGCAGGGAGCTTTGGAAACTGAGCTTCAGCACCACAGAGTTTCCAACTGATAGGCCCTCTGGCTGGAGAGACATGAGTTGCCCCGATGGAATAACAATTGTCAGGACAACACATTCTTTTTTAATTTAGTGGTGGAGGGCGAGGGCAAACCCATGGATCTGCAGGGGAAAGGGGAAAGGCAAAAAAAGGAGGGTACTCCCCCATCCTCACCTATATGACAGCTCAGTGCCTACAGGTGCCAGGCTGTAACATGATCCCAGTCAGCTCCAACCCCCTATTAAGCATATACCATTGTTTCACATTATGGAGAGGGTATTCAAGGAAGACAGTGGTAACAGGCTCATCAACACCCTGTCTGTGGTTTATGAAAGATGATGCAGAGTCTGGCCATCTCACCACTCCGGCATTTACCACACCCACCATGAATGCAAAGTTAAAAAAATACATTTGAATGCAAATTCCACATTTCAGTGTGTGGAGGAAATGATATGGAACCTTTGTGGCCTCAACCATCCCAATCATATTGCTGATTTACTCTGGATAGTACTTGTACAATTTCCAGCTCTTCTCCTTAGCAAGAAAGATCACGTAACTTGGGCCTTTGGTCCCACAGTGCTCTGGCACTAAAACAGGGGTGGCCAACCTGAGCCTGAGAAGGAGCCAGAATTTACCAATGTACATTGCTAAAGAGCCACAGTAATACATCAGCTGCCCCCACCCCACTCCCAGCACCTCCCGCCCACCCACAGCCCCGCCGATCAGCACCTCCTCCTCCCTCCCCACACCTCCTGATCAGCTGTTTCATGGTGTGCAGGAGGCTCTGGGGGAGAGGGGGAGGAGAGAGGGCATGGCAGGCTCAGGGGAGGGGGCGGGAAGGGGTGGAGTGGGGGCAGGGCCAGTGGCAGAGCCAGGGGTTGAGCAGTGAGTACCCCCGACACATTGGAAAGTTGGTGCCTATAGCTCCAGCCCCGGAGTTGGTGCCTATACAAGGAGCCGCATATTAACTTCTGAAGAGCCACATGAAGCTCCAGAGCCACAGGTTGGCCACCCCTGCACTAAGAAATAGTGTGAATGGGTAGTCTTCACCCCAGTCCCAACACATACCCCCTAGAGTAGTATCCAATACTCAATCCCAGCTTTACCCCACCATTCCTGGATTTTCTTTATTCTTAACTTAAATACACACAAACAGACTATAGCCCAAGCTTCCTCCTGAGTTGGCTGTTTCTAGAGTTTGACCTCGCAAGACCTCTTGTCCCACCTTTGGCTCTCCTCTTGCCTTGAAAATTGTCTACCTTGTGTTTTCCTAAGTTAAAGGTAATGAAACCTATCTGGTCTGGCTGCCAGCATAAGCCAGCACAGCATCTCTGCATTTCCACGCAGGGACCTGAAACCTGACTTCCCATCACAAATAGATACTGTGCACAGAAACACAATCCATTTGCAACCTGTCCCACACAAATATTTTGTTTCCTTTTATTAGGAAAAAAAGGTTCTGGGCTGTGCTTTCCTTTAAACACATCATAATTCTGTTTGGTTGTTGGGTAGTGTTAATTTTATAAATTTTTCTCAGTACACATAAAACTCAACATCATGCATTTCAAAGAAAAAAGTTTGCAGAATTCTGATCATGCACTAGATGCCTACTTTGGAATTTAAGTCACAATTTACCAATTTTCTTTATATTTTAAGAATAAAGTAATTACACAAACACAGTGCTGGAATTTAGTCTCAGCTGGCATTACTTCTTGGAATAGCTTACTTTTGCTCGCACCCTGTCCACCAGTATGTCAGAATCACAGCTGAGCTTTTTAGAACACAGCCTGAAGTTATTGTCCCCTTTTCTGGGTGGACTAATCTTGGCATTGGGGAAACACAAAGAGCTGGGGGAGTATCCAAAGTGTCTCACGAACTCCATGAAGTCAAGGGTATTGTCCTGATTTGTAATTAAAGTTTCCCACAGCCTGCGGATTTCACCTCGAGTTATTTCAGGTTGGATGTCAAACCTTGAATCAAAACATTGAAAGAGACAAATGTAATAACACTACAACAATAGTATAATAACTAGTAAGAGGAAAAGCAGAAAGTTATTCTGTGTACTGGCCAAATCTCAAAGTGCTTACTCAGCAAACTTCCAGTGCGGTCATTGACGCCATTGGGAGTTTTGCTGAGTAAGGACTTCAGCTCTACACTAAGCGATAGCAAAATGGTAAAATGATGAAAGATTGTTATTACTTGCTGGAAAAAACCCTCTTGGCATAGGTGCTGGAACTAGGGGTGCAGAGGATGCTGCAGCACCCCCTGCTTTGAAGTAGTTTCCATTATATACAGAGTTTACAGTTTGGTTCAATGGCTCTCAGCACTCCCACTGTACACATTGTTCCAGCACCCCAGGTCTTCAGCTGGTGGAAATGAGTGTAATTCCATGGAAGTCACCATCAGCCAAGGATCTAGCCCCAAGTCTTCCCAGAAGCCTCAGTAGCCAGTCTTCTTACCGCTTCAAGAGAAGGTACATAGTCTCCTGAGTGAGGCGCCGGGAGTTCATTTCATCTAAATCTTCAAACTCTTTCTCTATTGCTTGGTAGCGTTTATTTAGCAAGCTTTTAATAATCTTGAACAGCTTGGGGGGGAAAAGGAGATAGGTGTGAAGGTTTATAAACAGAGAGACTTTATTTGTAATTATCCTAATACAAATGTCTCCTTGAGTTTTTCTTTCAAACAAGGAGTTCTCTAGTAATTGGTGACTACTGTCTCACAACAGCATGATTTCACTATTCCCTCCAGAATTCATAGGAATTATGTTATTAGACAGGATGCAGTCTCCGGACTTTTCCACTGAGCATGGAAACCCAAGTACAATTAAGAGTTACATGAATTTTACAGCTATTCAACTGGGAAATATCTTAACATCTACACAAATACCCACTTCAACTGCTTAACAGCTAGAGCAGGCTGCTATTGAATGGGAAATCTTGGTTTAAGTGGGACTGTGCATTCTATACCCCTATACACTTGTTACTTTAGTAATTGTCCCATATCTCCAGTTTTGTATCTAATTTTCATGTGTAATAACTTTATGATATCTCTTGGAGAGTTCTAGGTAAATTATGTCTACAGCTTTCCAGCACTAATTATTTTCTCTCTTACTTCCTCATTCATTCTATCAAATTAAAGTGACACAGGGCTCAGTCCAGCAAACATTTACATGAGAATTTATTTCCTTCATTTTATTTATGGACTAGTCCCCTCAACTTCAATTTGTATTATTTTTCTCTGTATTCTGGCTGGCCATGAGTTCCCATACAGATGACTTGTGCCAGGAGCAACAGTATTACAAACTATGGCCCTGATCTTGCAAACATTTACCCCAGTGGTTTTCAACCTTTTTTCATTTGCGGACCATTAAAACATTTCAAATGGACATACGGACCCCTTTGGAAATCTTAGACATAGTCTGAAGACGCCCAGAGGTTCGTGAACCACAGGTTGAAAACTTCTGTCTTACACACATATTTAACTTTATGCACATGAGTTGCTTAATTTTATTCATGAGAATATTCATAAGTGTTTATAGGATCAGGGGTTAGCAGGATGCACAGTGGCTGTGTCTTGATCAGTGAGTCTGTGGTAAAATGTGGACCACAACCTCTGACTTTTCCCCCTACCCCACAACACCATTTCAATGTGCAGAGGAGGTTCTGTAGAATGTCTGCTCTTATTATTATTTATATAGTACCATAGCTGTGTATGGCATTTTACAGGCAAATAAGATGGGGCCTACATTTTGCTCTCATTTGCATGGCTATAAATCCAGGTGTACAACACTGATTCCAGTGAAATTACTCCAGGATTTATACCTCTGCATCTCGAGCACATTTTGGCCCATTTGAAATGGCAGCTCTGTGTAGGCACACATGTATTCCTGTGTGGGTAACTGAGTCTATTGTCACCACCATAAAGACAGGATGGAAGAAACTTGCCCACACTGCCCAGTCTGCAGTGAAACTAGGGAGGACCTAAGGACAAAACACTGGGTTTATGAAACCCAGTGAGGAGGCTAGATTATGCCTCTGAAGTTGGGACAACTAGGACAGGTGGTTCTTGGCTACCATCCAGAATACAGTTCATAGGCTTCTTGCAGAATTTTGATCAAGAAGGGGTCAGATCAGGATAAGCATCAGTTAATTATTGACTTCTTGAGGGCCCTTCCAGCCCTACGTTTCTATGATTCTATAGGGTGCTCTTCAGAAAAGAAAAGAAAAAAAAAGTAGGGTTACAATAATGGGTTGGGTGTGTGTTGTCTGTACCTGCCTTGGAGTTCTTCCACAGGTGTATTTCACTTTCTGGTTAGGGATATTTTCTTTCTGTTTCTGCCCATCTTTGTCTTCGTTAGGCTCACACATAGAATTTGTTACAGATTTCTCGTCAAAGAGACTAGGCAACCCTCTGCTGAAAGAGAAGACTGTTCATTTAGCCTGCCTCTTGCCCTATCATCCACTGGTGTCTTACAAGAAAATTAATCCTAGTGGCCTGCCTGCCCCTTGTCAATGTGTCAAAATCCAGGAAAATGTCCAACAAGGGGGAGCCAGCACAACTATTTCACAGTACTACCCGCCTATATGGCTTCATGCTATGTTGTTCTTAAAGGGGTAAATATAAGCATTGCATTGCTGTATATTTCATTGTATGGTTTTCATGGATAATACAGTTGGCCAAATGCCAGCCTGATTTACACCACGCATAAGCCCGGGACAGTGCCTGCTACCCCTGCAGGGCATACACAAGGGCAAAGTCCGCACGCAGTGTACCTGGAAGGGGTGGCTTGTGCTTTATACTTTCCCCAGTGGGAGCTCCATGATGTGTTGTGGCCTCATACAGCCACTGCTCTTAGCCAAGCACAAGGACTGTATGTGGGCTTAGCCCCTGTGCTGGGATCAATGGGGCAGGGCACAATCTAACCCAGACTAGGTGCATTTTCAAAGTGAGGTGCAGGATTTTAGCCATGCAAATCCCCTTGGCTTTAACAGGAGTTGTGTGACTAAAACTTAGATACAAAAAGCTTTCAGAAAAATAAATCCCAAAGTGAAAAATGCTGAGAGTCGAGACAGAACCTCCACCAGTGACTGGCAACCCGTCCTGACTTTCTAACTGTGCAGTGTCACCTTCACTGAGTGCATTTCTCGAAATGTGTGTCATATACCACATAGCAGGCTGTAAAATAGATTTTAAAAACATCAAGGTTCTCAAGACAGTTTAGAACACGGAGATATAGGCAACCTACATGGTGGGCACAGCTACACCAGCAGGGTTAAAGGGGAGACAGTCCAAATCCATCCAAGACCTGAAAATCTTGACATACGTAAACTCTACATGCATTAGATAAAGAGGCCAGAAAGAAAGGTGCCCCCTAATGAGTTTTTTTTGCGCTTGGGTGAGCGAAAGGGCTGCTTCAGGAGGCTAATAACTGAAAACCTTCCAGGCTTTTGTCCGGAGAAATGGCAGGCACTTTCCATCCCTTTGAAAAAAAGAAGGCCTTTCGGAGTCTTCACGAGAGATGTGGATTTTAGCTGAGTCGGAGA